TGTTCCTGATTATCTGGAGATCTTTGATTTCTGGATTTTCGTGGTTTTTCTCAATCATCTGTTTTTTAGGTTTGTTTTTCTAAATTTACTTTAGTTTGCAATTAGGTTTGTTGGAAGGGCGAAACTCTGGTGTCCAATGGTGCTGAAAATGAAAAATCCAAAAGTCTGAAGAAGTTGGTTGTGTGCTTGGATGGCAGTTGCAGCAGTTTATTCAACAATTCCACTCCTCTGTTTCGCATTCCCAAGGTTGTGTCTTTTCTTTTCATTTCTTTTATTTTCGTCTTTTCTTTTCTTTTCACTTGGTTGTCTTGTCTTTTGTGTTTTATACATTGAGGGCAATGCATACCTTAAGTGTGGGGGAGAGGAATGCGTTTTGTGTTTATCCTTCTTAAAAAAAAAAAAAAAAAACCCATAAAAAAATGAAAAAAAAATTGAAAAATCCAAAAAGGCCTAGGATGAAGATGGTTTAATTATCTATAACATGTAAGAATTAGACTATTTTGAATTGTATTGCTTAATTTATGTATTTCTATGTTGCTTTGAATACCCTGTTTCTTTTGTACTTAGTCGTGACTGTGGGATAAGTCTAAAGTGAGATATAGTTGCATAAGTTTGATGTAGATATGCCATGAAAAGTTGTGTTTGATTCAGTCGTACTTATATGATTTGTATGTGGAACCCATCATGTTGTGAAGGAAAAGCAAGGCATTAACCCAATATCAGCCTTAAAAAACCTTATTACTTTGACACTTTGTGTTAAGTAAGTTTGGGGGAGGGGTGTTGGCGGATGCTTCTGAGGTTAGGTAAATTTTAATGAGGGAGAAAAGGAAGAGCATTCAATGTTGATGCTAGCCCCTTGAGAGGTGAGGAATTGGCAACCTGAGCGGAGAGTCCTCAGGCCCGGTGAGGAAAATAGATATGTAGACTGCCCTAAGTTGCTGAGCCACTATGTATAGGAGTGGAAAAATACTCTGGGTAGTGGCATGAGTTGGAAAAAGTCCTGAAGAAAAGCCGCATGGACCGAAGAATGGGTTACGAGGGGGAATAGGTTGTCTGTGAGATAAGTCCTTCTACTTCATAGTATGATTGGCGGTCCATTGCATTGAAATATGGTATGAAATGTGAGTCTGTTGTTAAAGTAAAATGGCATATTTGCAGTAGAGCTTTTTGGTTTCTATGTTAAATGTAAAGTGATGTCCCTAAGAAACGAAACACACACACACTAGCGTGGGGGCTAAAAGTAGCTATGGTTTGCATTGTTAAGTAGTCCATACTAGAGGTAGTCGACATCTTTGTGTTATAAGATGTGATTGAATCTCTGAGGCTGCCAAATTAAATAATTAAATATTTTTGTTTGTTTAATGTTTGGAATTGCTTGAGGACAAGCAATAATTCAAGTTTGGAGGTATTTGATATGCTTATATTTTATCTATTTATTATATCCCTAATTTGTGATTTTTGTAATATATTTTGAGTACAAATATGCTATTTATGTGATTTTATCTTTAATTGTAGGAATCGTACTCAAACGCAGAATTGTTGAAGTTTTGAGCTAAAATCGAATTAAAAGCAACTCAATGGGAAAGAATTGAAGATTGGAGCAATTAATGGGGAAGAAATTAATGAGTTTAGAGAATTGAAGGGCTTTGATGCAATTTTGGAATTTTATTTTTAGTTTTTGGAAATTGGCTGAACAAACGATGATGGTGCGGCTGATTTGGGATTGAAATTGGATAAGAATTTTAATCCCGATATTATTTGGGAAACAAGTTTTCTTGCTTTTCGAGAAGTAGGATTTAGCCGTAAGCCTATAAAAGGAGAATTAGGGATTTATTTTTACAACAGAACTGAACCGAAAACGGGCCGAAAACCTTACGGCTGCAAAACACTTCCCCCGTCATCCACCTTCTTGTTTCCTTGTTCACCGCCGCCGACCACCACCAAACTCCCTCCTCCTTCACCGGCAGCATCATCACAACATTCTTCCTTGCTTCACCCTTACACACCATCATCCTTAACGCAGCAGCCTCCTTCTCCACCTTGTCTCCCTCATCCACGCACCACCACCGAAGCAGTCCACCTGGCAGCTTTCTCCATCACCATCACGCAGCACCACCGCAGCAACCAAGCATCACCGAAGCCTCCTTCATCTCTGTCCACGCACCAGCAGCAGCCCAAGGACAAGAAGAATTCGAACCTGGAAGAACCAAGCAAGCAGCACCATTGATTTGATCATTAGTTTTGGACACTTCGGCGGAAATCTACCGGGTTCCCTATTCCAATTTTAATTTTATTTTTAGAATTTTGGATTATGAATATTATTATTATTGCATCATTAATTTTAATAATGTTTAGAGGCTAAAGTTCTATAATCTAGGGCTTCATTGTAGCCACCGGATTTATTTGGTTTATTTGGTTTATTATTATTTGATTTTTCCATTAATTAATATTTGTTATTCTTGTTTTAATTCGTGTAAGTAATTGGCCACTATTTGCATGTCTGAAGATACTAATCGAAGTAGGGAGAGTGGAAGATTAGTATTAGTTCGTAGGAATAATAAACTTAGGTTGTAAGATACGAGAGTAAGATTATAACCTTTGCAATATTTGATTCTTAATGGTCTTAATGTGCTTTTGTTAATCCCTATAGTCACGAGAGTAGTCATAGGGTTAATCTAAGTAAGAGAATTATAACACGAGAGTGAATAGTTCTTAATTAGGTGAATCGTTGTGAGATTAATGGAGGTTAAAAATCAAATACTTATGAACTGAACTACCCCAAATATTCGGTACGTGAACCCAATGTCCTAGGTTTTCTTTGTCTGATTATTTGAATTAATATTATTTGTTTTCATTTTATTTTTTTATTTTAGTTTTAAATTTATTAAATCTGAGATCGTCATGTATCTAGATAATAATAGGAGTAATTTATACCTGGTAATTAGTATTCCTTCTTTGTGGGATCGACCCTGCTTTCTGCTTTACTACTAGTAAATGTATTAAGTAGGTAATTAATATTTGACTAGTGTGACGACGGCTTGTCACTAGTATATACTCAACATGTTCGAATTTTCAAGATAAGCAAATAAAATACAATTCTTTTTCGACCACTCTATCATAGCAATAAGATAATATGTTTATTTTTTACCATCAGAAAAGCTTTATCTCCTCAAAGATGGCTAGAATGAGCATTACTGATTAGTAGTTATGAGTATGGTGTCGAAATGCATCGCATCGGCTAAAATAGTAAGCTCGCGTTTGGATGCAGTGTGTAAGTTGTCAAAGCACGCAATGACTCTAAGAACAAACTGATTATTTGAAGTTGTCCTTGTGATTAAACTTCTATTCTTAAGACCTTAACTATCCTGTTTTAATGTCGGTTGAGTGAATTGTCTTGTTATATAGACATCGCGAACGGTCATTTTAGCTAACTTGTTGGCGACAATGTTTATTTTGCAAGAAGATTTTAGATCTCTCCTAATTACTTATCTTAATTTCCAGGGTCAAGGACAATGAAACTGATTTTGAATGGTCATTTTCAGCCTCTACAAGAGTAACATTAAATTCTTTGTAAATTTTCATTAACTCTCACAAGAGACTTTAATCTTTGTGTATTTTATGAATTTTTAATATCTTTGTGACCAAAAAATAAAAATAAAAATAAAAATCAGAAACAAACCGTTATCATCAATACTTAGTATAATCATTCGATTTGTCAAAGTATACATTATTTTGCACCTGACTCAAAGTAGTAGAGCACCTTCCGGTTCTTCAAGAAGAAATATTATTACCTACTCTTCAAAAGAAAATTTATTATCTATAAAATTAAGAATAAAAACCGAATAAATAGAAAATAATCCCTGTGATGACAGCCACCGATTCATATTTAGTCGGTCATTTATCAAATACTCCTTGCGTCCCATTATTATTGTCCAGTTTGAGTTTTCATTTTTAGTTGAAATTATATTAAAAGTGAAATATTAAACTGTACAATAATTTTGGGCGGAATGAATAGTTTTTTCATATAATGTATGAAAGTAGATGTGTTTTTCATTTGTCTCTAGTGTAATTTGAACATGTAACTCACTAATACTATTCATCAGAAACTTCATCTCTCCTTTTCATTTCGAACGTATTCACGTAACCATTATAAACAAATATACGTTGACTAATATTCAAAGAGAAGAGCAGAAAGATGACTAAGTAAACTTTACAAATACACAATTCAACTTTGGCAAATTTCTAATCCATAAAGATAAAAATATTCCATTTGGGGACGGGAATGTCACATCGATGACTTAGAAGACGACTAAAAGGAAAAGTAAAATGAAAAGGAAACAAATGTCACTTACAAATACACAATTCAACTTTGGCAAATTTCTAATCCATAAAGATAAAAATATTCCATTTGGGGACGGGAATGTCACATCGATGACTTAGAAGACGACTAAAAGGAAAAGTGAAATGAAAAGGAAACAAATGTCACTCGCACTAATAAAAGTTAGGCAACTTGGCATATGCCATGTACTAAATATAAGGCTGATTTGACGATGCTAAATGCGTACAATTAAGGTGTAGTTGGTGATAAATTTGACACGCGCGCACTCAAAAAATAAAATGAAATGTGATTTTAACAACAATTAATAGGAACAAGAAGTAAGGAACTTGTTCTCCTGCAAAAATTAAGAGGGACAAGTTGAAAGGAACAGTTAAATGTGCGCCCCACATGCTTCTATTGGTTTAAAAATGAAAAAGAACAACCGGAAATAATAAATACTCCCTCCAGTTGTAATAAGTCATTTTAATTTTTTCCAAGTTTCATTTAAGTATGTTATTGCAAATTGTAAATAAAACCTTAAAATTATTTAATAATAATTACGAAAATACAATAAATATGAAAAATATACTTTTAAGATTTTATTTTTAATTAAAAAAATACACTAAATGAAATATAGACAAATCAAAATATTTTATAATCAAAATACACTAAAAAAAAACAGCTTGCATCACATTTTTCATTATCATACTGCTGCTGCTATTTATATATTATAAAAGTTTGCAAAATAAGATTTAAATAAAGTAACAACTTCAACAAAGTCCGAAAATCATTACTGCTTGCATTAAACCATATTTTCTAGAATGATGTTGATAACTAATTACTAAATCTGAGAACCAAGTCTAATTTAGTCAACTATTGCATAACTGACTAAGTCAAAGTACTTTTGTTGATTTGTCAATCATCAAAGTTTCCATTTTCCACCGAGAAAATTAGAACAGTAAACCCGTTTACTAGTTAAGTGGTGTTGGAATTTACCACATGGTGTTCACAACTTCACATCGATTAAACCTTATACAAAATTGGAGTCAAGTTAGTGCATATGCGTTTGTAAATGATTGGTTGATTTGTTGCTAATTTATTTTGTTGAAATGGATAAATTGGTAGTCCTCGTACGTAGTCTCTTCAACCACGAAATGAAGGAACACTTCATTCTCTTCAACCAACCCATTTCATCTAATTTTCTCTATGTTCTGTTTCTTCTCTTAGCACTTTTTCACAACTCATTAGCTTCTCTTGATCCCCATTACTTGGCAAAAGGAGAAACTTTATTTGTGGAAAATCACGACACAAAATTCATCACATCCCCAGATGATACATTTACCTTTGGCTTTTACAAAACCGGAAACAATGCCTTTTCATTGGCAATCTGGTTCACGAAACCGAAAACACTAGTTTGGATGGCAAACAGAGAGAAGCCCGTTAATGGAGTTGGGTCAAAGGTTTCATTGGGGAGCAATGGAGCAATGGTCTTAACCGATTTCGATGGCACGGTTTCATGGGATACAAACACCACTTCCACTGACATTGCTCGAGCTGAGCTCCTGAATTCAGGCAACCTCGTACTTAAGAACTCAAGAGGTGATGTAAAGTGGCAGAGCTTTGATTATCCAACAGATACTCTGTTGCCTAATCAGAACTTTACCAGGAATTCCAGGCTAGTGTCTTCCTCGCGGAATGGAAGCTATGATCCTCGCTACTTCTCCTTGAAATTCGACAGCGATAACGTTTTGAGGTTGATTTACGACGGCCCTGAAATTTCCAGCATATATTGGCCTAACCCTGAAGATACCGTTAGGGACAATGGAAGAACGTCCTACAACAGTACCAGAAACGCCGTTCTCGACGATAGGGGCTGGTTCTTGTCAAGTGATGGGCTGAATTTCAAAACAATCGATATGGGTTTCGGGATCAATAGAAGGATGACACTTGATTATGATGGAAATTTAAGAGTGTACAGCTTGAATAACTCGACAGGATCATGGCAGGTTTCATGGCAAGCTCTAACAAACCCGTGTTTAATCAGAGGGTTGTGTGGAGAAAACGGGATTTGTGTATTTTCTTCTCAGCCTAAATGTTCATGTCCCCCTGGATATGTGGTTAATGATCCTAGTGATTGGAGCAGGGGATGCAAGCCCACCTTTGATCTCAGTGGCCAGAACAATCAGCCAATGAAACTCGTGAAGATTCCGGAAATAGATTACTTTGGTTACTTTGATATAAATCATACCGCCTCCATTTCATTGGATGTCTGCCAGAAAATTTGTCTTGAGAATTCCAATTGCAAAGCAGTGATTTTCAGGGATGTGGGTTGCTACCCAAAAAGCGCGCTTTTCAATGGCCTACCGGCCGGTTACGCAACTTTGTTCCTCAAAGTCCCTCAAAATCTATCAGTCTCGGAGCCGGTAAAACTTGAGGGCCATCCAGCAACATGTGAATTCAATCCAAGAGTAGTGGAAGGTAACTCGACTTTGCATCTTAGAGGGACAAGAAGGGTTATATGGATCTACCTTTACTCATTCTGTTTCGCTCTTTTGGGCATTGAACTTGTGTTTGTTCTTCTGGGGTGGTTTTTCCTGTTTAGGAAAAGCAATGTTTCTGATACAATTGAGCATGGATATGAGATGATTGCCAGCCAATTCAGGAGATTTAGCTATGAGGAACTGAGGAAGGCTACTAATAATTTCAGCGAAGAACTCGGGAAAGGAGGCTCGGGAGTTGTTTACAAAGGTGTACTATCTGATGGAAGGATGGTTGGGGTAAAGAGATTGGGAGATGTTCTTCAGGGGGACGAGGAGTTTTGGTCAGAGATGAACATTATAGGAAAGATCAATCACATGAATCTTGTAAGAACATGGGGATATTGTTCTGGAAAAAAGCACAGGCTCTTGGTTTACGAATATGTCGAGAATTCTTCTTTGGACAAACATTTGTTCAGCAAGAAAAGATTTCTGGGATGGGAACAAAGGTTTGCAGTGGCATTCGGAACAGCCAAAGCTCTGGCTTATCTGCACGACGAGTGTCTCGAATGGGTCATTCACTGCGACATAAAGCCTGAGAACATACTTCTAGATGGCGATCTTCAGCCCAAGATTGCTGATTTTGGCCTTGCCAAGCTTTATCAGAGAGGAGGAGGAGGGTCCGGGTTAGAGTTGTCAAGAATTCGGGGGACGAAAGGTTACATGGCGCCAGAATGGGCTCTAAACCAACCGATAACAGCGAAAGTTGACGTATACAGCTATGGAATTGTGATCTTGGAGATTGTCAGTGGAATCAGGCTGTCAAACTGGACCATGAATCGCAGAACAAATCAACTGGAAACAGAGCTGGCAAAATTGACGCGGATAATTAAGGGGCAAGGAGAAGAGTCCTGGATAGAAAGAGTACTGGATCCAAGATTGAAAAGAAAAGTTAGCAAGAAACAAGCTATCACCTTGATCAAGGTTGGCTATTCTTGTGCTCAGGAGGACAGAAACAAGCGGCCTAGAATGGCTTCTGTTGTTGAAACTCTACTTCAAGCTGCATCCGGCAATAGCGTCCGCGAGTGTTCCGGATTGTAGTGATACCATTTCCTCCACAAATATCTCAAGTTCGATCCAAACATATTTTGCCATTGAAGACTTCACGATATTTTGTCATAGCATGGCATAAATTTAGATACAATTGAACATGAAAACTACAGAATTAGAAACTAGTATCAAGTAAAAAGCCGTAACTCCACAGCTCTAGCATTGTGAAATGAATGGACAGCTTTCACGCGGAGCGGAAGCTTGCTTCCTGATCCTCTCCAAGCATATTATCCTACTTACTTACAACACGTGTGTATATTATTAATAAAGATGTACTAGTTGATAGACTGATTGTATATAGCAAACCATTGCTTGCAATAAAAGTCCAAAATCTTTCTTACAGCTTGAGTGCCTGTTAGATTTTGAGAATTTTCTTCGTGAATGATTTCAGATTTGTTTATTGTGTTTGTTGTGATTATGATATCTTTGTTGCTGTCAATTACTTGTATTAGTAAGTTATCTTGTGAAGGAAGTATGCAAGTGGTAAAAGGATGGTGATCCTTAGTTTGTGGACTTCGCTGGAGATAAAAATAAAGTGTTGTACTGTTGGCATTGACCAAACAGTATACAGTTAGTTTCCTTTTGTATTATAAATATGAATGAAATGAATGAAGTATGTGTGTTATTTTGAAGCAGAAAACTTACCTCCGTCCTTGCTTATTCTCTGCATTTTTTGAAAATATGAAAATTCTTTACTTCTGCAACTCTGTTCATGGTATCAGAGCTTAAAAGATCTTAAAGGGCTTGTGAAACTTTGAGAGAAAACAAGTCAAGCTCCCTTCACAAAAACAAATACTTTTTTCAGTTTCTTATGGCTGCAAGTTGTTCTTCTAATATTTCACCCCCAACCTTTAATGGCGAGAACTATCAAGTGTGGGCTACCAAGATGAAAGCTCACTCGAGAGGTCTCAGTTTGTGGCAGTGGGTTGAGACGGATAAGGAAGTACCTCCTTTGGAAAACAATCCAACACTCAATCAAATTAGAGCTCATGATGAAGAAGAAGCCAAAGCTCCAAGAGCTTTGTCTTTCATTCATGCTGCTGTTTCAGATACAATTTTCACAAGAATTATGGCATGTGAAACTCCAATAGAAGCTTGGGACAAGCTCAAGGAGATGTATATGGGGAGTGATAGAACAAGGCAGATGTAAATTCTCAATTTGAAGAGAGATTTGAAGTTCTGAGGATGAAAGACAATGAGTCCATCAAAGAGTATGTTAATAGACTCATGGAGGTTGTTAACAAAATTAGACTTCTTGGAGAAGACTTGACTGATCAGAGAGTTGTAGAGAAAGTACTGGTGAGCTTGCCCGAAAGATTTGAGTCTAAGATCTCTTCTCTTGAAGATTCAAAAGACTTAACCAACATGCCCTTGGCAGAGCTTGTTCATGCTTTTCAAGCTCAAGAACAAAGGAGATCAACGAGGCAAGAAAGTAGCTGCGAAAGAGCTTTGTTTGCTGGTTTAGACCTAGAGTACAATGTCGATCATGCAAGCAATATGGACATGTGCAAAAGGTTTGTAAGAACAAAAACCAGCAAAGACAACAAGATCAAGGGTAACACTCAAAAGTTGCTGAAAATTAGCAACAGGAGGAGCAGCTGTTTGTGGCTTCAAATCTGATTACAAGCAGCTCAGATGACACTTGGCTCATTGATAGTGGTTGTACAAATCACATGACTCATGAAATCAGCAAATTTAAGGAGATAGATTAGTCATACAACTCGAAGGTGAGGATTGAAAATGGAGACTTGGTTGACGTTGAAGGCAAAGGAGTTGTGGATGTAGAAACTCCCTCAGGTACCAAATACATTTTGGATGTTTTATTTGTACCTGAAATTGATCAAAGCTTGCTAAGTGTTGGCCAAATGCTTGAGAACGATTTCTCTTTGCATTTTAAAAATAAGTCATGCATTTTTTTTTATAGAGCTGGTTGTGAGTTGATTAGAGTAAATATGGTCAACAAACGCTTTCCAATTATGTGGAAAGATAGTAATTTGCATGCACTTATAGCTGTAGTTGATGATTCTGAATTATGGCACAAAAGATTTGGCCATTTTTACTATGAGGCACTTAGGCACATGCACCATAAAAGGTTGGCCCAAGGCCTTCCTATTATTTGTAATGAAGAAACTATGTGTCAAGCTTGTCAATTTGGCAAGCAAACCAGGTTGCCATTTCCTGTAAATTCAGCGTGGCAAGCTTTTGAAAAGCTGCAATTAGTTCACACGAATGTGTGTGGACCAATGAAGACACGATCACTGAATGGAAGTGTATATTTCATCTTATTTATAGATGATTATACAAGAATGTGTTGGGTTTATTTTCTGAAGCAAAAGTCCAAAGTGGCTGATGTATTTTAGAAGCTCAAAGTTTTTGTGGAAAATCAATCAAACTGCAACATCAAGGTGATAAGATCGGACAACGGGACTGAATTCACTTCAAACAAATTTCAGCAATTTTGTGCTGAATCTGGAATTCAACATTAGCTCACCGTCACTTATTCTCCTCAACAAAATGGCGTGAGTGAGAGGAAAAACATGAGTGTTATGGAGATGGCAAGATGCTTGTTATTTGAGAAGAAAATGCATAAACGCTTTTGGGCAGAAGCTATCAACACGATAGTCTATTTGCAGAATAGACTTCCAACCAAGATGGTGAAGGATAAAACTCCATATGAAGCATGGTTTGGAGTTAAACCAACTGTGAAGCGCCTGAAAATATTTGGAAGTATGTGCTACTCTCATGTTCCAGATGTGAAAAGGAACAAGTTGGATCCAAAATATGAAATTGGAGTGTTCTTGGGATATAGTTCTTTCTCTAAGGGTTATAGAATTTTCAACTTGAAAACCAATAAGGTTGTGGTGAGCAGAGATGTTCGGTTTGATGAAGCAGCTATTTGGGACTGGGAGAAGGCTGAGATTGAAGTCCTAGATGTTGATCAAATTAGGGAATCCACACCTCGATTTGAAGAAGGAATAGAAGATGAAGTTGGAGCTGAAAATTTCGATCACATTCCCACAAGAGTAACAAGATCACTTGCTGAAATTTATGAAAGGTGCGAAGTTGCATTGCTGGAGCCAAAATCCTATGATGAAGCTGCTCAAGAAGCTGGTTGGGGGGCTGCAATGGAGGAGGAGATGAAGACGATAAATAAAAACTGGACTTGGGAGCTCGTAGATAGGCCTCAAAGCTAGAAAATTATTGGTGTTAAGTGGGTTTACAGGACCAAATATAATCCTGATGGTTCTGTGAACAAACTTAAGGCCAGACTGGTTGTAAAAGGCTATTTTTAGGAGTATGGAGTTGACTATTCAGAAACTTTTGCTCCCGTAACCAGACATGATACAATAAGGTTGTTGATTACTTTAGCAGTCAAGATGAGATGGAAAATTCACCATCTTGATGTGAAATCGGCTTTCCTAAATGGTGTTCTCAAGGAAGATGTTTATGTAGAGTAGCCAGAAGGCTTTCAGATTTCAGAAACAAAAAACAAAGTTTACAAATTTTGTAAGGCTTTGTATGGCTTGAAGCAAGTGCCTCGTGCTTGGTACAACAGAATTGATGCCCATTTGTTGCAGCAAGGCTTTACAAGAAGTCAAAGTAAAGTTACTCTCTACATTTTGAAGCATGGAGAAGAAGTTCAGCTCACTCTTTTTTTATATGTTGACGATTTGTTGGTTGCAGGTTGTGATTCAAATGTTTTGAGGAGTTTTTTGGTGCAGATGGAAAAAGAATTTGAGATATCCAATTTAGGAGAAATGAAGTATTTTTTGGAATAGAAATTCACCAATATGAAGATAAAATCTTCATCTCTCAAGAAAAGTACGCTTTGGAGGTTTTGAAGAAGTTTCACATGGAGAGATGCAAACCAGTGGAAATACCATTGGTTGTAAATGAGAAGGTGTCCAAAGATAAAGCAGGCCGTAAGGTAGATGCTTCTATCTATAGAAGCCTTATTGGCAGCCTGCTCTTCTTATGTGCTACAAGGCCCGATTTGATGTTTGCTGTTGGCTTACTCTCAAGATTTATGCATTCGCCTACTCAAATCCATTATGGGGCTACTAAGAGAGTTTTAAGATATATCAAAGGAACTTATGATTATGGCCTGTGGTTTTTCAAGAATGAAAGCAAGGAACTTGAAGGATATTCCGACAGTGATTATGCCAGAGCTCATGATTTTAGAAGTACTTCAGGTTATGTATTCTCATTTGGAATTGGAGTTTTTTCATGGAATTCAAAGAAGCAAGACGTGGTGGCTCAATCCTCAACTGAAGCTGAATATGTTTCTGCAGTAGCAGCAGCCAACCAAGCAATTTGGTTGAGGAAACTACTTTTAGAATTACGGCATAATCAAGAAGATCGTACTGTAATTTTGGTGGACAACAAATTAGCAATTGACATTGCTGAAAACCCAGTGCAACACAGAAGAACCAAACACATTAATGTGAGGTTTCATGCCATTAGAAAAGTAGTGAATAATGGTGTAATCAACCTGAGGCGTTGCTACTCAAAGAATCAGGTTGCCGACATCTTAACAAAGGCATTTCCTAAAGGCAAGTTTGAGGAGTTAAGATCAAGGCTTGGAGTATCAAAGAAAATTCTCGAGGAGTGTTAGATTTTGAGAATTTTCGTGGTGAATGATTTCAGATTTGTTTGTTGTGTTTGTTGTGATTATGATATCTTTGTTGTTGTCAATTACTTGCAGTAGTAAGTTATCTTGTGAAGGAAGTATGCAAGTGGTAAAAGAATGGTGATCTGTAGTTTGTGGACTTTGTTGGAGATAAACACAAAGTTGTGTACTGTTGGCATTGACTAAATATTATACAGTTAGTTTCCTTTTATATTATAAATATGAATGAAATGAATGAAGTATGTGTGTTGTTTTCAAACAGAAAACTTACCTCTATCCTTGCTTATTCTCTGCATTTTTTGAAAATATGAAAATTCTTTACTTCTGCAACTTTGTTAGTGCCAATATGCCCAAAATTCCAGTTGAAGAAATTCCCCTGTCAAATTATCCATTAGTTTGATTTAGTCTCAAGGATCTGACGATCGGATATGTTTGATTGAATCATGTTTTTCTTTATCATTTTCATATTTATTATTAGAGCGCTTCAGGAATAAAATGAATGTCTTTCTCTTAATATTTTTTATACATTAATTTTGCCAGTCTCATCTTTACTCTAAAAAAACAACACAGAAACACAGCTAGATGGCTTCCTCCCACCCCCTTCTGATGCACTTACATCAGCAAAAATACCTTCTCCCTTCAGGCCCTCTTGCAGAATGAACTTAATGATGAAAGAAAATGAGGATGAATCCCAGCGACATGCTTTCATTTAAAGATAACGAGAAACACCAACCCAGCTCAAATCAATACTGGTGGAACCGAATTTCAGGAAGCGATTTGCCCGG